AGATAGATAGATAGATAGATAGATAGATAGATGATAGATAGATAGATAGATAGATAGATAGATAGATGATGGATGGATGAATAGTTGGGTGGATAAATGTGAAGATGGATAGGTATATGGATATTTGGATGGATGGTTAATGGATGATAGTTAGATACATGATACATAGAAAAAATGGATGGATAATAAATAGAGAAAAATGTGACAAAAATAGATAGAGGATAAATGGATAGAGGATGAATAAAAAGATGGGTGGAGTGATAGATGATAGATGGACAGACAAATATTGATATAGGTAGATAAATATTAGATAGATAGACAGATAGGTAGAAAGACAGATAGATGATAGGTATAGAGAGATAAATTTGAGATAGATAGAATAGACATAGAGATAGATAGAGAGATGATATAGATAGATAGATAGAAAATAGATAGTAGATAAATAGATATAGATCGACAGATAGATTGATAGATAGATTGATAGATAGGATGGATGGATGGATGGAGGAACAGACAGACTGACAGATAGACGAATTATAACCTGGGTTACCTGTGCTGTGCTCTTCCTCTTCTGCCTAGGTTCAACAACTTCCCTCAAGATCCTCTCTCCCATTGCCAAGGCTGCAACCCACCCCAGAATGGAGAAAATGCCATCGCTGCCCGCTCCGATCTCAATCCTGCCAACGGGACATATCCCTTTGGGGCTCTCCACCAGCGTAGGCACGGGGGCACTGATATGAAGGTGAGAGGCAGTAGGTGAAGGAGGGAGAATTTAGACCGAGAGGAGGGGAGGGTGTGTGTGCGCCCCATCCAGATGAGGTCTCATTGCTGAACCGCACATTATTTTCAAAAGTTTGTTGATTGTATTAATCTCAGTGGAGGGCAGCCCTTGTCTGATCTCGCTCGGGTTCAAAAGCTGATCAGGTTGGATGAAATTTCCCAGGACTGTGGAATAGATTGGACGGTCAAGCAAACATCTCCCCATTTTATTTTTATTTTCCATTCCTTTCTCACTTCACTGAAGGAAAGAAACAGTGGGATGCACTGCACAGCAAAGCTAATGCTGCCTAGATCAGTGAGGGCGAACCTTTTCATTGCGGTGTGCCAAAAACACGCACGCGCTGGCACCCACGATGCAATGTGCCCCCCATGCATGCGTGTACAATGCCCCTGCTTACCTGCGCGTACTTCCCAGCTGATTTTTGGCCCATTTGAGGCCTTTTTCGGCCTCCCAGAGCCTCGAGGAAAGCCTCTGCAGCCTTTGGAGGCCGAAAAATGGGCCCGTTTCATCACTTCCGGTTTGGTCACTTCTGGTATTTCCGGAAGACCCGTTTTTCGGCCTCCAAAGGCTGCAGAGGCTTTCCTCGAGGCTCTGGGAGGCCAAAAAGGCCTCAAACGGGCCAAAAATCAGCTGGGAGATGCGTACATGCACAAGTAAGTTTGGCTGGGTCTCGCACGCCCTCACAAATGGCTCTGCATGCCACCTTCCTTTCATTGCTGAGCTACTTGGTGTGTGTGTGTTTGTGTGTCAGAAAAGTCAAGACGGCAGCCACAGCCATGTGGTCCCCCTTTCAGAGTGTTACTTCTTCCCAACGCCTTCCACGCCATGGTATCCTTGGAGTTGAGGGCATCGGTCCTTTTTAAAGAGAGTTAGAAGTCGCTCAGGAGACGCTTGAGTCGTACCGCATAATCCACTCAGTGCTGGTTCATGACATTAATCCAATTTTTCAAGTTCAAAACCAGCTTAACCTAAGAGAAGAAAAGCAAAGGAAGACATCAGCAAACCTCCTTAGTCCTCAAAGTCGCAGAGCTGAAACTTTTTAATCACTTTACGTGGCTACGCGGGGGGTACATGTTTTTCCATCGAAAAGCTGACACAGGTAGTCTTAAGTACCATTGATATTGGTTGCCGGAGAGATTAAGTTCTGGTCTTTTGGTTTCCTTAGCTTTCTTCTCCTTTGAATGGCGTGTAAATGTGGTTGATCTCTCTGTGTCTGTGGATGGCTGGTTTGTCTGAGTGCCAAGTTTCCAGAAATTCCCTAGTGTTTTTGGGATTTAGCTTGGCCTCAGCTGCCTGTGGCTCATAGCTTGCTAAAATCAGAGTTCTTCTTCTTAAACAAAACCCTGCTGTTATCTTCGTAGGTGACTTCTTTTGAAATGATGAAGAACTACAGCTTCCTGGCTGCCAGTGGGCCTACTTGGGATAACCTTCCTCCTTTCCAGTGGAGCTCTTCTCCGTTTTGCAATATATCCCACATGGGACAGCCGGATCTCTGGAAATTCTCGCCCATCCAAGTTCGCTGGGACTGAGTTTTCCCAAGACTCAGGCTTGGATTGTGAGCCTAATTCTAGCTACCTATATGGAGCTTTTTGGGGTGCAGATTCCACCCAGGGGCTGGCTTTCTTGAAAGAAAGGGGCAAGCTTTCTCGCTTTCATTCTCAACAGCTTGAGCAGTTAATAATGAAGAAAAATAACCAGCAGGGGTTTGAACGCTGCCATTCGGTACAACAATGGGATATTGGAGGAATTTCACTAAATGAACCGTGGTGAGTCAAAGGGCTGGCTGTCATTTCCCCCCTCTTTGCATTGAATCCGCTCTGCAGCCAAACCTCCATTTTTAAAAAAGAAAAGTTAAACAGAGGGCGTGCCTTCAAAGTCCCCGTTGTGTAGCCATGCAAAATTTCACCAGGATTTAAAATTGGAGAAGTGCTTATAGAGGCAATCAAAACAAAGTATTTTTAAAAAAAAAGTTTTATGGTTGCTTAACACGGCCTGTCAAAGATGAGTCGAAGACCATGTCTTCTGAGAATGTCCCCTTGAGAATGGTCAGTTTGGGACCTGAAGAATAGTTTTTGAAACATCTGGAGAACTTCGCTTTAGGGAACCACTAGGACTACTTGGTAGTTTAATGATGACTTTAAGATAATGTTGGCTCTCACTTTGAGGTTGGGGACATAGCCATCTGACAGAAAGAGATCCACCCAACAATTTGGGATCCAGCTTGATCCCACTGGCTTTTTTTCTGGAGAAAAAGGCCATCTGGTTTCAATCGTCTGACATATTGAAAGACATCGCAATACCCATAAATGTGAACAGGCAACCACTTGTTGTACAGATGTTATACAGGTAGGGTTGCCATGGTACCCTACCCAGCAGCAAAATCCATCTTTCCCTTTGCGTGGAACCCAAGGGGCAACTCTTTACTTTTCTGCCAGTTTGTTATTATGGGATAGCAGGCTCCTGTCCTGAGACGAACTGGACAAGCCAAAGATGGTTTCTCCTGCCCTGCTTAAAAATAATACCGTTTTCTTCTTGAGTCCAAAAGAAGGAGATGATTGAGAAGAAGACGTGTAAATCAGGGTATAAAAGTGGCTCACTGGGTCATAGGAAGGGATTTCTGAGGGTTTGTATCATCTCACCCGAACCTTTAAAAACTTTTTGTTTTGTTTTATTGTTCCAATAAACGCCTACACAAACCTGCCTTGGGTTGTGTAGTTCAGACATGCATCAGGAAGTTCTCTTTTTTTCCCAATATTTTCAATATTTTTCCAATATTTTATTTCATCAGCATTAAACTTAGAAATACTTTATTGTCATCGTACGTATATACACAGTGTACACATACAACGAAATTCACATAACACCCAGAGACCAGACACAACACACATGCACGCACACACATGACAATCCCCAAACACCCCCCACCCACCCACCAAAATTCCCTGCCCCCTAAAAACACACAAGCATCCACACAACATACCAAGTAACACTGTCCAACAGCTCACTGATGGAGGTCTTGTTAAGTGCCATTATAGCTCTGGGATAAAAACTGTTCAGAAAATGTGTGGTCTGAGTTTTAATTGTTCTTTATCTTCTGCCAGAAGGCAACAGTTCCACAAAGATTGTAAGCAGGATGGGAAGAGTCTCTGAGAATGTTGTGCGACTTCCTCAAACAGTGAGATGCGAAGATGTCATCCAGGGCTGGTAGCTGGAGCCCGATGATGTTCTGGGCAGTTTTAATGATTCTCTTTAGAGGCTTTTTTGTCTGCTACAGAGCTGCTCCCATTCCATGCAAGAATGTCGTATGTTATTCGGCAGTAGTAGGACAGAAGTAGATGCTGAGATAGATTTATCTTCCTGAACATTCTCAGGAAGTGCAGCCTCTTCTATGCCTTCTTCACAAGCATGTTAGCATTCATAGTCCATGAGAGGTTCTCTGAGATATAAGTGCCCAGAAACTTAAAACTACCAACCCTCTCCACCTCCTCACCATTTATGTACAATGGTAAATGTACATCTCTCTTCCTCCTGAAGTCAGTTATAAGTTCTTTAGGGTTTTTTGGGTGTTAAGTGTAAGATTATTTTCTTTGCACCAGAGTGCCAGCCCTTGTACTCCCTTTCTATAAGCAGCCTCATTGTTCTTATTAATGAGCCCCATCACTGTTGTGTCATCCACAAATTTGATAATTGTGTTGGTGTTCTACAATGGGGTGCAGTCATATGTGTACAAAGAATAAAGGAAGGGGCTTAGCACACAACTCTCTCTCTCTTTCTATCTATTCTACCTCTCTTTATCTATCTATCTATCTATCTATCTATCTATCTATCTATCTATCTATCTATCTATCTATCTATCTATCTATCTATCTACCTACCTACCTACCTACCTATTCCAGAGGTCTTCAAACTTGACAGCTTTAAGACTAGTGGACTTCAACTCCCAGAATCCCTCCTCCAGTCATGTTAGCTCAGGAATTCTGGAAGTTGAGGTCCACAAGTCTTAAACTTGCCAAGTTTGAAGACCCTTGATCTACTCTATCTATTCTCTCTCTCTCTCTCTCTTTCTCTCTATCTATTCTACCTCTCTCTCTCTCTCTCTCTTTCTCTCTCATCTATCTATCTATCTATCTATCTATCTATCTATCTATCTATCTATCTATCTATCTATCTGTCTGTCTGTCTGTCTGTCTATCTATCTATCATCTATCTGTCTATCTATCTATCTATCTATCTATCTATCTATCTATCTATCTATCTATCTACCTACCTACCTACCTACCTACCTACCTACCTATTCCAGGGGTTTTCAAACTTGACAGCTTTAAGATTTGTGGACTTCCACTCCCAGAATTCCTCCTCCAGTCATGTTAGCTCAGGAATTCTGGGAGTTGAGGTCCACAAGTCTTAAACTTGCCAAGTTTGAAGATGCTTGCCCTAGACCTTTCCAGACAAATGACTGTCCAGTGTCTTCTTAACAACCTCCAGTGATGAAGCACCCACAATTTCTGAAGGCAAGCCGTTCCACTGACTAATTGTCCTCACTGTTAGTAAGTTTCTCCCTAATTCCAGGTTGCTTCTCTCCTTGGTTAGTTTCCATCCGTTGTTTCTCGTCTTGCCTTCTAGTGCTTTGGAGAATAGCTTGACCCTATTCTTGTCTTTGGGGCAGCTCCTTTGTGGAATACTGATGTCACATCCCCTCCGGTCCTTCTTTTCTCTGGAAGTCCTTACAATCATTCTTCCTGCAAGCCTTGAATCCTCTTAGTTGCTCTTCTTTGCATTTTTTTTCTCCCCGCAACCCATCCTGGCAGAAAACTCTGCTGACCTACTTCCAAAAAAATATATCAAAAGAGCACAAGAAGGCACTCAACCGAAAACTAGCCTTGGAACAGAAGCTTCCCTTCTTGCTCCGATCGCCAAAGGAACCACCCATTCCTAAAAACCTTCACGGCTTCACCGTCCAATCCCTGTTCCACTCGTTACACAGAACGGCCTACGCCTTCTCCGGCAAGGGTGATTTTCACCCGCGCCCACCTCCCCCTACAGTTTGTTCTTTTGTGATGCCTGGCACGGCACCCTGGGAGCTGCAATTTTCCCACAGTCAGCCTAAGGCCAAAGCCCTCCAAGGGAGTGGAGAGTTCTCCGACAAAGGGAAAAACCTCGTTTTCCCCGCGGATGAACAACGAGAGCAGGATTCAAGGACAATCTTCATTGTGTCTTAGCAAATTGGCAGCCTTCTTCTTCTCTCTCTCTCTCTCTTCCCCCCCCTCCCCCAATCAACCTGACCCAGTTCTTCTAATAAGGTTCCCATCTGCTTGTGAATGTGCTTGTTTCTGCCTGGAATTGCTTTGGGCCTTCTTGAAAAAATCAACCCAGATTTAAGGCTGCGTTGACGGCTGTTTTTCCCCAGTGGTCTTTTGAAAAAGGCTCCTCCATTGGAGCCAATTTTCCTCATGTCTTTCTCTTTCCTACCTCCCCCTCTTTCTCTTGTCTCTTTGTTTCTCTCTCTTTTCTCTCACTCTCTTTCTTCATCTTGGTCTCGGTTTCCCTCTTTCTCACTTTTTCTTCTTTCTTTCTCTCTTCTTTCTCTGGCTCTTCCTCTCTTTCTCCCTTTCTTTCGTCCTCGCTTTCTCTTTTTCTTTCTCTCTCTCTCTCTCTTCATCTTTCTTTCCCTTTCCCTTTTCTTTTGTTGTCTCTTTTTCATTCTTTCTCTTTCTCTCTTCTCTCTTTTCTTCTTCTTTCTGTCTCTCTTCCTCCTTTTCTTTCTCTTTCTTTTTCCCTCTTTCTCTCTCTCTTTCTTCTTTTTTCTCTGTCCCTTTTTTTCTGTCTCTCTCTCTCTCTCTCTCTCTCTCTCTGTCTCTCTCTCTCTCTCTGTGCATTTGTATGTGTGCATAAGCCTCAGCACATAGGGTTAGCTTGACTGTCTTTAGGATCTACTGTGTGTGTGTGTGTGTATATACATATATGTATATGTATATGTGTGTGTGTGTGTGTGTGTGTGTATAGGGTTTTTCATTCATTCGCTCGTTCATTTATTTTTATGCATTTATTCATGTATTTTTATTGCTTTTAAAAGAGTGACAGGAAAAGAAAGAGAAAGAAGACATTACCATTTTTTTCTTAAATTACCAGGGCTTTCTTTTTTTAAATTGTTTGCACCAGGAGAAGTCCTTTGGGGGGGGGGGAAATACACACTATTGTGTAGGGGGGAAGGAAGGACAGGTCCAATAAAGGAAGGAAGGAGGGCTGAGGGACTCTTGGCTATTGAAGTAAAATATGAATTACTAAAGCTGGACAACTGATGGTCTATTTAAATCATCACTCTTGTTCGATTTCTCTTCTCAGGGAAGAGAAATGGATTTTTCAAAGACAAGTTTCACCCTTTATTTTCCCTCAGGCCACAGGCAAGACGATTCCCTTGTATACCTACAGATCGTCCTCAAATTACAACCGTAAAAAGGAACATGCCCGTTAGGATTGTAAATCAGGACAGTTTCAGTTCAGGACACCGGACATACGAATGTTCATATTGTGTGATCTTTGTTGCGGTGGTCATTAAACGAACACTGCGGTGGTCATTAAGTGAACCAATCATTGGCTGTGGGCCCGTTTTGATGAACACCGGAGGTAGCTGCCAGTTTTTGGCACAACCCATCGTGGTCACATGACCTTGGGATGTTACGAACGACTGTAAATATGGACCTGGTGCTGAACACCCAAAGTGAGGTCATGTGACTTCAAGGGGAGGGCAGGAATGGCCGTCAGAACTTCAAATCTGGGTCGTAAGTAACCCAGAGGAAGTCCATGGAAACTTCCGGTGGACATGAAGTGACCAGTCATAAGTGGAAGACGACCTGTATATTTCCATCACTCTGGAACCTTCCTGATTGTCCAAACTGTCCGATCTGCAAAAGTTCCCTGGGAGGAAATGGCTAGAGAGGTTGGATCCAACTGGAAC